GATATCTAAAAGGAAGATAACACTGCATATATCCTTTTTTACCTTTAGTGTGTGTGTGTGTGTGTGTGTGTGTGTGTGTGTCATAAAGGTAAAAAAGGATATATGCAGTGTTACCTTCATTTTAGATGTCAAAAGGGTCTCTCTCTCTCCCTCCCTCTCTCTCTCTTTCTCTCTCTCCCTTTCTCTTTCTCTTTCTTTCCTCTCCCTCTCTCTTTCTCTTTCCTCTCCCACTCTCTTTCCTCTCCCTCCCTTTCTTTCTCTTTCTTTCCTCTCTCTTTCCTCTCCCTCTCTCTCTCTTTCCTCTCCCCCTCTCTCTTTCTCTCTCCCTTTTTCTTTTTTCTCTCTCTCTCCCTCTCCTCTCCCTCTCTCTCTCTTTCCTCTCTCTCTCTCTCTCTCTCTCCCCTCTCTCTTCCTCTCTCTGATCTTCTGCTCACCTGGCAAGCTGGCTTCAAGCTGTTCTCCAACCAGCTGACACACATTCTTATTGGGCTAGCTCAGGGGTAGGCAACCTGGCTCTTTTATGACTCATGGACTTCAACTCCCAGAATTCCTGAGTCAGCATAGCTGGGCTGGCTAGCTCTTTCCTGCCCTTCCTGCTTCCTGCAGAGACACAGCAAAGGGAGGAGCCCCGCCCAAAAAGCTTTTCAGCTCGTGGGAGAACACCGTGAGTCCACTCTCTTTTTCACACACACACACACACACACACACACACACACACACACACAGAGAGAGAGAGAGAGAGAGAGAGAGAGAGAGAGAGAGAGAGAGAGAGAGAGAGAGAGAGAGAGAGAGAGAGAGAGAGAGAGAGAGAAGCTCTGTCTCTGTCTCTCTCTACAAAAGGCAGAGGAGGCTGGGAGCCGCAGGGAAAGGGTCAAAGAGGTGCATGCGGCTCTGGAGCCGCAGGTTGCCGACCTGTGTCCTAGTGCAAAGAAATTTTAGTCCAAGATTCATATATGGCTGGAAAAGATGACTAAAGTACAAATAAAATTTAAGCCAGAATTGTTTTTGTTAGGAATACTAGGATCTAATTATGGCAAAGAGAATGAGTATTTAATATTACACATATTGACAGCTGTGAGACTAGCATTTGCCCAATATTGGAAAAATGAAAATGTACCATCGGATGAGATTATAATTAGGAAAATTCTAGAATGTGCAGAAATGGATGGACTAACTTTAGAGATCAAAGAGAAAGAAGATTCAATCTATTTTAAAACATGGGAAAGTTTTTATCAATGGTTAGCAAAATGAGTTAATGAAAATTGATTTTGTAATTTATTAAGATATTTGATGCTTATTAATTGATATGCTTTATAATTATTGCTATTTTTGTTGACTACAGTTACTTATTATGATATTAACTATTTCCACTGAATACTTGTACCCGGAAGATAATTTGTTTGCTAAAGCTTGGAATGTCCCTGGGGGCAACCCCATTGTTGTACCTATCCCCATCCCAATCCCTTCCCTGAACACCACCCTGAACCCTATTACCTATACCAACCCTTTTTTCCCCATACCTTTATAAAACTTAATAAAATACTTATAAAAAAAGAATTAAGGGAGGGGATGAATGGAAAACTGCATTTAATTGCCCAGTGGGGTGCTACCAATTCAAAGTTTTGCCGTTTGGACTACAAGGGCCCCCCGCAGTATTTATGCAATTAATCAACGAGGTACTAAAGGAGCACCTATTTAAGGAGGTTTATTTAGATGACATCCTTATCTTCACCGAATCCAAAGAAGAACATGTCAACCTAGTCAGAGCAGTTTTAAAGAAACTGCGAGCTGCCCACCTATATGCCAAATTATCGAAATGCGAATTCCACCAGGAAAGAATAGACTACCTAGGTTATCGCATATCCCCACAGGGCATTGAAATGGACCCAGAGAAGGTCAGAGCAGTATTAGAATGGGCACCACCTCGCATAAGGAAGCAGCTGCAAAGTTTCCTGGCTTTCACTAACTTTTACCGCCAATTCATTCCCTCATTTGCCCAGATAGCCCTGCCCCTCACGAACGTACTAAAAACGAAGAGAGAATCCTCAGTGAAACCTAGCCAGCCACTAAAATGGACAATGGAATGCCAAGCGGCATTTGAGAGATTAGAGACTCTTTTCTGCCGAACCCGTACTGAGGCATCCAGACATGGATAAGCCCTTCGTAATACAGGCGGAGGCAAGTGATGTGGCAGTGGGGGCTGTACTATTACCAGAAAGCGATGAAGGGGTACTGCAACCATGCGCGTATATATCCAAGAAACTCACTGAAACAGAACAGCGCTGGCCTGTGTTGGAGAAAGAGGCATATGTGATACGTTGGTCATTACTTGTATGGCGCCAGTTCCTTGAAGGGAATAAAATCCCTTTTCAGGTGTGGACAGACCACAAAAACCTAGAAGCCTTGCAAACACCCAGGGAAGCTCAACCCCAAGCAAGCCCACTGGTCCCAGCATTTTCACGAATTCCACTTTACACTCAAGCACTTGCTGGGGGGAAAGAACTTCATCTGGATGGTTACGGACTTGTTTTCCAAACAGGTGTACTTTATCCCTTGCCAAAAGATTCCCATTGCAAATGTGCAGACTGTAAATGTGCATTTACAGACTGCATGGGGCACCCCAACGCATCATATCTGATAGGGGAATGCATTTTGGAGGGAATTTTTATCCCTCTTAAGAACCATTCTGGGACTGTCATCTAGTCATCATCCTCAATGTAATGGACAATCCGAATGTTCTAACTCAGTACTTGAGCAATAATTAAGATGCTTTATTAATTTCCAGGAAACGAATTGGACGGACCTTCTCCCTTTCGCAGAAGTCACCTACAATAACACAGTCCACTCCAGCACAGGCTACACTCCCTTTCAAATAGCCACTGGTCAAAGTTTCAGCCCTATGCCACAACTAATCCCAAACAAACTGGCAATTCCATCACTGAAAGAATGGATAGCACAATTACAAAACACCTGGCCAATAGTTAGGAAAGCCTTAGACGAAGCTAGGCAAGCATACAAAGCACAAGCAGATAAAAAGAGAGTCGAACCCATACCATTCATTGTAGGAGAAATGGTGTATTTGTCTACAAAATACCTAAAATGCCTACAGCCCTGTAAAAAACTTGGCCCAAAATATATAGGACCTTTTCCAATTAAAAGAATCATAAACCCAGTAACAGTAGAATTAGGACTACCCAAAAACCTCAGGCGAATACACCCAATTTTTCACTGCAGCTTGCTGAAAAGAGAACAGTCGCCCTTACGGCCAAAAATCCCCCCCATCCCCAATCATGGTCAAAGGAGAATAACACTTTGAGATAAAAGAAATCCTAGATTATAGGAAGTATCATGGGGCAACTCAATACCTAGTAGCATGGAAACATCTTCCCTCCTCACAAAATGAGTGGGTCTATAAATGTCACGTCAGAGCACCGAAACTGCTAAAGAAGTTTCATACAGAATATCCCAACAAACCAGACTAACCTTTATACCTGTTTTGTTTCTCTACAGGTAGATCTCTCTTATTTTTAAGGGGGACAGGATGTCAGAATCCATTTATATTTCATTTCTTTCTTTCTCCTCTGATCTAAAACCAAATCTCACCTTCCCCTGGATTCTGCCATACTCTCAAGGGGGAGGGGGGATATGCCTGTTGGGTTATGACTTTCACTTCCTCTATTCGCTACAATGTAACCTTTTGTTTATTGCTACTGGGTCTGCTGGCCATTACAATGTAACAAATTGCCCCCTTTACTATGCATCTCTCTGAACTTTCTTTTCCCTAACCAGACAGTTAGAAATGGGGGGGGGGAGAAATATAAACATCTAGAATCTGGCTTATTTCTCCGGTCCCAAAAGGAGGTGTGAAGAGCTGTGGAACATTGTACTACAAACGGAGACGGACTGATGCTATCTTCCCTTTCCCACGATGGACTAACCACCTGGGGATTGGCCGGTCTGAACTATCCAGATGAACTGTGGGGTGGAGTTTGCTTAGGGACCCTTTAAAGTATCGATCTGTAAAGGATCCCTCAGATCCTGTCTATTATGCCTGCTATTAACTACTCTTAATAAAAGTTCCTGTTGGGAGAAATTGTTTCCAAGAGTTCTGTTTTCTTAAGATGTGGGATTGAAGATTATACTTTCATTTTATGTAGTTCTTTGGAGGAGTAGCAGCTCATGTTCCATTTTTCCATTTGCCACTGACAGACTTTATCTTTACAAGTTAGTTAAAAAGCCATGAAAAGAAGTAGATGAAAGATACATTATTTTTAGTGAGAAATATAAAGCAATGCTAGGAATAATAAGTTTGACTGCCCTCTTTTGCATATTAGGGATGTTATCTTATATAAGAATGTTCAGGAGGGATTAAAATTGTTCTGCTGTTGAGTATGTAATTCAGGAGTTGAAACATGAACTATAGCTGCCATACTTTGATCTGATATTCATAGGATCTTCAGATTTTCATGAAATATCATCACTTGCCAAAAATATTTTGATTTTTTTAATCTAGTGTCCCAGTAATTGGAATTTATTAGAGACAGTAAAAACTATGTCTCTATCAAGCAATAGCAATAGCATTTAGACTTATATACCACTCCACAATGCTTTAGAACACTCTCTGAATGGTTTACAATGTCAGCATATTGCCCCCAACAATCGTCAGAAGATGGAAGGCTGAGTCAACCTTAAACCACATTAAGATCAAACTTCAGGCTATGCACAGAATTTGCCTGCAATACTGCATTCCAACCATTGCACCATTATGGCATGAGGAATAACTGAGGGATAGCTGAAAGAATGACCATAAACCAATGAATCTATGCCTATCTGCAGCATTGGATTGTGGATTACTAATATATTTACTTGGTCAATATTTGTGACAAAGATGCAATAAACTTAAAGAGTCATTTTAGCAACACCCTAAATACAAGTTACAAGATAAAAGCAGAGTCAGATAAGTAAGAATCACTAGCCAAAGAAACAAATATTGCATTTACCTTGTTTTTCTTACTTGTCCTGAAAAATCCAAGAAATCCTTTCTTTTCCTTTAGTGATGTGCCACAACCAGTTGATATTTTTGTTTCTGTTAAATGCACAAGTCACAATGACTATTCCAATCCTGCTCAAATAACATTTTTTAAAAATAGCTTATCTATTTGAAAATTGAAATCAGAAACCTCTACTGCATAGTGGACACATATATATTAAAAAGAACTTTTATTATTCTTATGAATTACTCATGAGAGAAAAAAAGTCATATGGCATTCACTCAAGTTATTTATTTTAGATTTCAACCCAAGTTTTATTTACCTATATTAAAACTTCCTTTTTGTATCTGTCTGTGGGTGTAGATTCTTAAATTCCTATCAGACTCTTTAAATGTGACATAACAAATACAACTTTATTTACAATCAAAAAACAAATACAAATTTGTAAAACACTTGTAAACTCTAATGAAAGCTCATTCTGTTCATCCTGTTTACATGATCTTTTGTTACATTTTCAATGGAACAGAATTGTATGAAATTTGTTTGATCCAACGGGTAATTATGCAGTGTACTGTTAATATTTTTTAAACACAAGCAGTATAACAGATTTTAAGTTAAGAAATAGGACAACAGGACAGTTTATCCCCAATTTTGGCAATTTTGTATACAGTAGGCAATTGTTACCATTCCTTCTATTATTGCTTCTCTACTATCAATTGGCTATTCGTTTAGCTTGCCCAGTCATAACTTGTCTAATATATCCCTCCCTATTTTGTATACAAATAAAAATAATAATACATACTATTTTCTGGAATCTGCATCCTTTTACACAACAAATATCACATAAACATTGAGCTAATATCTGTAAACAGATAGCAATAATTTATATTGTCTGTAGCTGACATATTCTATGAAAATTCACAAATGAGGTGTTTCAAGCTAAAATACTATATTGGATGGATGGATGGGTGGGTGGACGGACGGACGGACGGACGGACGGACAGACAGACAGATAGATAGGAGCAGAGATAGGCAGACAGATTAGAGACTAGAATGTTAAAATGTATTCAATAATATATGAAGGCATGAAAAATCAAAGTGTTACAATTGACCAAAAAGCCTGATACCAGATCAATATATTGCCAAAAAAATGATTTCACAATAAATAAGAGTTGTATTTGATAATATATATCAAATGCTGAGATTCTCTCTTATGGCTTTTCTGGGTTTTCTACAATAAACCAACATATTTGAGAATTGATGACTCTGGAAGTCTATTCTTGCAGTTTTATTGCCTAACTTGCCTGAAGAAGTTAATGTACCTATTTCATTCCTTAAAACTCCCCATAAAGGGGATTTCTAAAGCTTCCATAAAGGCCAAAACATTTGTCTTCACTGTTTCCACAAGTGACATGGATTCAACAGAGTGCTACGAGGTAAAGGTAGCCCACAGCTGTGGATTGTCCATTGTATATAGTTAATGAAAGCTTTGGTCTTAAAGGCTTAAAAATAACCATGATACAATAATTGTGATGTATTAATAGAACCACTTTAGAGTGCTGGTTAAGGCATCTGGCTAAAAAAAATGGAGACTGTAATTTCTATTCTTGCCTTAAGGTACAAAGCGAGCTAGTGACCTTGGGCCAGTCACTTTCCCCTAGCCTTAGGAAGGAAGCAATGGAAAACCACTTCTGAAAAACCTTGCCAAGAAAACTGAAGGGACTAGTCCAGACAAGTTCCAAAAATCAAACACAATTGAATGGAAGGAAAAAATGTTTACAAAAGTTGATAATAACAGTAAAACAAATGACAGTATGCACAAAAAACAATAGTTGGCAATTCATACAGAGAATTACAAATAATCCAAGCATTTGTTTACAGTCATTCAACTAGAGATAATTATGTTGTGTGGTTATATGGCTATGAATACTATTAAATTTGTCATTTAACATGCATGTAACAGATTAAACTGTTACCCGCAGTTTACTTTCATGCTAATAAAGCATGAGCATACAAAAAAAATGTTCTATTGTTTGCTAAAATGCACTATGATTCCAGAGATAACAATAAATATAAAAATATTAATATCAAAACATACAAAAATAAAACCTAAAAGGCAAATTTCTCTCCAAGTGCATTTTACAATACCTCTATAGTTCAAAGAAGATTCAGACAGAGTTTTTGATGGAAGAGCTGCAACAACAGGAAAGTAACACTATGAAACTATGCTAATATATTGATTTATTTACTTATGCAAAATTTTAATATATTGTCTATTTTCTAAAATATCACCACCATCCCAAAAACAATCTTTCTACCATCAATGCCTAAACATATTTAATAATAATAAGAGCTGAAGCATCTTGCACAAGACCAGATGGTTGGGGCTATCTTATATCTTAGGAGGTACCTATTCCAGAGTATGGGAGCAACTTCTAAAAAGATACGTTGTCAAGCTCCTGTCTCCTTTGTGAGGTGAAAGCCTTAAGCATTCCCTCCTTCAAAGACAATATAGGGTAGGCCAGATCTTACTGGGAAAGTCTTATTTCATAAAATAAGAACAGGCTCCTTTCTTGTAACTATGCTCTTACACCATTAATTAGTGATTCAGTTAAAGGAGTACTATAAAACACATCTGAGCGGAGTTTTTAGGAGAAGAAAACTCATGCTCCACTCTAAAGCAGATGATCAAGGAGGTGATTGTCACCACAATTTCGATTCCTTGAACAAACATTAATAAGATTCTATTGACCAATATGTGATAAATATGGAAGGCAAGGACCTGGCAAATATCAAGAGTGTATCTTTCACACTCTGAAGGAAAACACAGTATCAGTCATGCCCTGAGACCAACAAGAAGCAAACGGAGAGCCAGGTGTATGGCTCTGAGCTCCAACCAATTGATGTTGTGCCTCAGGTCTAATCGGGACCACCGGCCCTGAGCCAACTGCGACTAAAGGTGTACTCCCCAGCCGAATAGACTGGCGTCTGTCATAAGGGTGAGCCAAATGGGTTCCTTGAAGGATGACCCTCTGGTTACCGCTGGGGAGGACCACCACCGAAGGGAACTTAGGGTCTGGGCAGAAACCCTTAGCCTTTGGTTGGAAGAGCTGGTACCTAATCTTTGAAATGGGAGCAAGAACCATTGGAGGTTCCTGGAGTGCAGTCTGGCCCAAGGCACAATAGCGATGCAGGATATCATCTTTCCCAGTAACTGGGAAAGCATTGCCAGTGCCACCACGCACTCCCTGCGGACCTTGCATACCAGGGCTCGGATGCTGTCCTGACGTTCCCGAGACAGGTAGACCTTGCATTGGTCTGTGTCTATGACCGCTCCTAGGTGGAGGAGCGGGTCGAGGGAACCATCTGGCTCTTTTGAAAGTTCACCGAGAACCTGTGGTCTTGGAGGGTCTTGATTGATAATTCCAGAACCAACTGGGCGGCCAAAAGGGAGGGCAACTGGATGAGAATGTCATCCAGATAGCATTGAATGCGTACCGGCACCAGTCTCAAGTGTGCGGCGAGCACTGCCAGGATTTTGGTAAACACCCTTGGAGCTGATGAAAGGCTGAATGGCAGGGCTTTGTACTGGAAATGATGGCTCATATAACAGAATCTGAGAAACCGCCGGTGGTCGGGGAGGATGGGGATATGGAGATACGTTTCCGTGAGGTCTATGGACGTCAGGAAGTCTCCCTTCCTTACTCTGCCCAAGATGGACTGGAGCGTTTGCATCTTGAATTTCCTGTATGCAATATGTGAGTTCAGACCTTTGAGGTCGAGAATCGCCCTCCATCCTCCCGAGGTCTTGGGAACCACAAAGAGGATGGAATAGAATCCCCTCCCCTGTTGACAAGCCAGCACCGATTCTATGGCTCTTATCTCCAAGAGATGTCGAATGGCCTCTTGCATGAGGCCCTTTTTGACTGGGTTCTTTGATTGCGGGCAAGAAATGAAATGCCCTGGTGGGTGGGACACGAATTCTAGGGACAGACCGTATCGGATGGTTTGGAGGACCCAGGAGTCTGTGGTGGTGACTTCCCATTGGTGGGCGAAAAGGGTTAGCCTGCCACCTATGGGAGGTGCTTTCCAAGAATCACTTGGACTTCTAAAAGGGCGAACCCCCCCCCCAAAAAGGGCTGCTTGCACTGGTACTGCTGCCTGGGTCTAGAGCCCAACCTGTTGGACGGGCGGTCCTGTCTGGCCATGAAGAAGCAGAGGGGCTGTGTGGAACCTGAGCCTGTCCCTGACTGAAAGAACTGCCTGCGGGTGTACGGATTAGAATGCCTGTCAGCCCGCCTGCTGAGGTGGGTCATCACCTTCTGCTTATCCTTATTCTCAGTCAAATAAGGTGCTAGAGCCTCTCCAAACAGCTGACCACCCTGATAAGGGGCCGTAGCCAAATGCCACTTGGATTTGGCATCAGCCTGCCAATGTTTGAGCCACAGTAGTCATTGTGCTGTGACATTGGAGGCTATGGTCCTGGAAGAAAATCTGGCTGCATGCAGTGATGCATCAGAGAGATACTCTGATGCTGCAACCAATTTGTTCAGTTCTTGGTACATGCGTACCTCCTCCTGAGGGATCCTGGCTTGGAGTTGACGGAGCCAGAGGAGAGAGGTCTTGGCAAAGAAAGATGCGCAAGTGGCCACTCTTACCGCCCACACCGCCGCCTGGTGAGTCCTGCGGAAGGTCAATTCCCATCTCTTGTCCTCAGCCTTCAATGCCTCGGCCACATCCCCTGACACCGCACATGAAGACAAGAGAGGGGTCAAGGGTTCATCTACCGTTGGCACCTCAGGAGCATCAGCCAAGTCTGGTGCTGCGCTGAACAGTTTCCTGTCCGTTCCTCCCAGGGAAGGGAAGGTGCCAGGTGAAGCCCATTGCTTCCGAATGGTGTTCAAAAATAGAGGGGGACAGGAGACATGGTGCCGAGTCACAACGGGCTCAGAAAACACCGGATTTGGATCTGGACTGGTTGATGGACCTGGCTGAGGAATCCGATCATGACCTATGTTAGCAGTAATGCTAGCCTTGCGAAGCAGTGGTAAGAAGAGGGCTGGGTTAAAGAGACTCCCAAATGGTGGGGGCAGGG